AGGTATGGGAGGCTGACCTTTCCATTATCTGGGGACAGGATCCCATGGAACCCGCCTACCCAAAAAGGAAAGATCACAGTTCCCAGAGATAGCGGGTTTTCAACTTTCTGTTATTTTAACCCTTCTCTGTCTGCTCATGGTATTCCAGACAAATAAAACACACCCTGTTTGGCAGGCCCAGACATCTGCCGACAGTGCCAGCAAGGCCTGCATAACGCGGACTACAAGGCTTGATCATCTGGGGAAATACTGTCAGGTAAGAGGATGCTGCTGTCACCACAGTGACAAGAGGACCCCACCCAGAGAAATGTCAGGGTCAGGCTGTCACACGCAGATATGTGTAACTAAAGGTCTGTCCCAGCAGCTACAGCTCAGGGCGGTCGTGCTGTCGCTGCTGCACAACCCCCTGTTCTGCAGATGTGCCCTGCTCCCGAACGAACGGCCAAGCTCTGGTCGTGCAGCAACCAGCAACACTCCGGCTGCTTTGGCTCATTCGGTGGCACTTGGTCTCTGCAGGGAGCGTGGAGGCTCCAGGCAAAACTCATCACAGGGGGGAAAGACAGTGGGTGAGGCAGGTAGAGAAAGCCTAGCTGAGCACTGCCAGGATGCACACAGGGATGCAGAGAACATGGGCTTCCTACTGCACTTGAAAAGGTTGTCCACACCCACCCCGTATCACGTAGTTGGGTCCTCTCTGCTGCTCGAGCTGAGCATCCTTGGACACGTGCTCCCTTCGGCACGGCCGGGCTCAGCTGCAGAGGCACTTGTGCTCCCCGGAGTCTCAGTGCTTTGGAAGGTCTGCTCCACAGATTTCTCATGCTAAAGCTCATCTATGAGGCACTTGCTGTCAGAGGTCCCTGAGAACAACACCCAAGCGTCCTTTCCTTTCCCGGCTCTCTGCACACCCTACACTGCAGCCTCTCTCTGGTCCCACCCTCTCCACCATCCACCCTTTCCTTTTGCCTTCATTCACTCAGTACATCACAAAACCTCTGCTTACTTCTGAATTAAAGAAGGTTGCAGGGCAAGGCCGGGGGCAGGAGAGATGTCAGGAGCTGATCGACCACTTTATCATTCCTCCAATCTGCCTTCTGCTACAGCAATGTCACGAGACATCCAGAGCCCCCCAGACACACGAAGCTCTGCAGAACAAGCAGGCTTTTGCAATCCTCCCCCCGGCACAGCTCTAGCTCTTAACCAATTTGACAACATTGCTCCAACACCGCATGCTGCTTTGAAGCTCCTCTTTTGTGTGTGCCAGTGCTCCTTGTCAGAACGCAAAGGCTTGCCATAAACCCAGCCAACAAACCGTGCCACGACAAAGGAAAGGGCTCCGCTCTTCAAAACCCCAGATTTTATGCCCGCAGGGGCAACGGGGGACTGAGGTTTCTTACAGAAATACAAGTGCAGGGTGACCCCGCCACAAGGAAGGCTCATGAGATCAAGGGATCTTCAGCATTAAACATATGAGACCATTTCATTTTACAAGATGCTGCTGGGCTTCACTGGGAGAGGAGGGGGAGAGGAAATTTCCCAGCGCCGTACTGCGGTGCGATTTGGCTTGCACTGTCCCCTTCGGTTGCGTAGCCCTGGAACTCACATGCTAATAAAGATCCCTTTCCACTTCAATAGCTTTGCACATAAAGAACCACTCGGCATGGTGTGCGCGTGAATTCAATGGGAAAGGGAGCTGGAATGTAGCCATGCTGAGAACAGAGTGCTGCCTACCAGGCGAGCCCCATCAATAATTGAGACGTCAGAGGCACAGGGAGGTGTGTGAATAAGAGCTGTCAAAAGGAGTAATTGGGATCTGTGTGGATATAGTGATGGATAGGCTCGCTCACCACCAGACACAATTGCCATACACCAAACAGAAGTGAGCAAGGCACGGAAATTCAAAGGGGCTGGGGTGGGCTGTTTGATGGGCAGGATGCAGTTGCCTCTGTGGTACCTAAGGTACCAAGCAGGTGTGGGCACGTTATCCAACGACCAGTGGATAGAGCAAGCAAATGTACTTACAGCACGTGGACGATCCCCAGAGATATTTGGTGGCACACACTGCAGGCTCGAGGTGAAGGTAATGCCATCTACTTGAGGAAAGTCATCTCCTGCCCACAGTAGTCACCAGGCACACGGGACTCTGCATGGAATGGTTCCACTCTCTACGTGGGTAACATCCTCTCCTTCTCTATCCCTACATCCTTAAATCCAGCAGAGGATGCAGTTGGCTGACATTGGGATGCTCCTCACTACTCCTCGTTCCTCCACCCATCAGACACTAACGTGCTTCATCTGCACCCAAGGGTCCCCAGCCCCCAACAGCGGTGGGTGGACACCAAGGCAGAGGACAGACACGGACAGACACGCGACACCAGTCAAAGCAGGACTCAGGGCAGCTGCCCTTCACTGCACCGACAGCTTCATGCTGCCTGACTCCCCTGGGGACCCAATGTCCTGCCCAGGCAGACAGATGGGTGTTGGGGAACCTGCCTACATCTTGGTGCTTCATCCACCAAGGCCAGAAGGAGGCTTTTCAGAAAGGGAGAGCGCTGCTTAACACTGTGGTGGACCTCCAGCCTTGCCCCGACTTCGGTGCAGCCAG